GGAGCAGAAGGAGTGGGTGGGTGCCCCGAGGTTTCAGTAAACTATATGAGTGTGAGCAGAACAGGGAGGCGGGGACTTTGCACAGAGAGGTGATAGGGAGCCTGAACCCCTTCAGAATCACACCAGGGAGGAGAAGCATATTGCTGAAGAGCATGGAAAACTAGAGGGCCTTGGAGATGGGGGTGGCTTGAGGAAGGACACTAAGTATTGGAAGGGACCCCAGGTTACCCTGAGACAGGTCTGTGAAAACTTACAGGCAAAAAGAGGAGGAAGTTTTTTTTTTGTTTTGTTTTGTTTTTTGTGTGCTGGGGATTGAACCTAGGGCCCTGTGCTTGTGAGACAGCACTCTACCAACTGAGCTATATCCCAAGCCTCAAAAGAGGGGATAGGAACCTGGAAGCTTGGGTTCTGGTCACACATCCTTTACTCTTTTTGTCAGGAGGGTACTGGGTATTGAACTCAGGGGCACTCGACCACTGAGCCACATCCCCAGCCCTATTTTGTTGTTGTTGTTGTTGTTTTGTTTAGAAACAGGGTCTCACTGAGTTGCTTAGCACCTCGCTTTTGCTGAGGCTGACTTTGAACTCACAATCCTCCTGCCTTAGCCTCCTGAGCCACTGGGATTACAGGTATGTGTGCACCACTGTGCCTGGCCACATCCTTTACTCTTGAGCTGTGCATTCAGGACAAGTTATTTCCTCTTCTGGACCTATTCATCTGTAAGATGAGGGGTTCGATGCCTGATCTCCTAGAACCCTTTCAGTGTTGCTTTTCTTACACTGGGGGTTTGGATGTGCCCCTCCCCAGGCCTCAAATGCAGGAATGACCCAAACCAGGTCCTGGACTGTTTTCTCAAGAAGTGGCTAGAACCTGATGCAGTGGGGAAGCAAGCAGGTGGCCTGGGTAAGCTGTGCCCTGGCTTGGAGGCTGTGGAGGTGAGTGGCTGGTGGAGACAACACTTCTAATTCAGAGCAAGTAGAAGTGCCAAGTTATCAGCCCCAGGGAATGATTTTCAGCAACCCCCCACCTTCACCCCTGCTTTCCTCTGCTGGGCTTCCTGTCCTCTCCCTTGTCCTAACCCCAGTCTGAATAAATGTAGATTCAAACCCTAGATTTACATTTACTCAACTGTGTGATTCTGAGAAAGTCACTTAACTTCTCTGAGCTTCAGTTTCTGTACCAGTCAATGGACTTATTTTATTGAAATTACTCATGTGAAATGCTCAGGACTGTGCCTACTGCTAGATCTCCCTTCCCAAATCTGGAAAAGAACAATTGGTACTTGTTGCCCCTGCGCCCCAGGGTAAATGGCGAATGCTGCTTTGTGGGGGCATGGGGTAGAGCATATGGAGGAACAGGTTAATGATGAGAAGGTTTAGTGGTCTTGCTCAAGCTGCCCCTGATTGCCAATGAGGGTGGCCACTCAACCTGTAAGTCTATTTATTGTTACTAAGGGCCCAGGAACTGTCTGGAACTTTCCTTTAGGGGTCCATGGTTGAGGCCTGGCTAATGGTTAGGAGGTGGGCGGCATGGCCTGGTCTGCACATGTGCACTGTGGATGTTCCTGCCACTCTTTTGAGCCTGGTTCATCCAAGGCCCCCAGTTTCTAATCTGGTTGGGAAGGATTTATTTTTGGGTCCCTGTAACCTAGCAATGGGCTCACATGACCAGTGGCAGCTGCCGGCTGAATATACTGTTGGATCTCGGCTCCTGGCAGGGGGTGTGGGCCAGACTGTGGGGGAATAAAGAGAATGGAAAGGCTCTCACCTCAGTCTTCCTGCACCCCCCTCCTAGTGCCTCAGCCTGGCCCCCAGATGAGGACAGGGGAAGGTGGGTGCCTGAGGAGCAGGCCCCATGGTGCCGAGCTGTAGTGGAGAGGCCCCAGCTGTGAGCCTACTTCCTGGGTGGGAGAGTTGGCTGTCCACATGGATGGAAGTGGGTGCTGAAGGGACACAACGCTTGCCTCCTGGGGATGAGGCCAGACTGGGGAGTGCTCTGTATTTTGGGATCTCAGGGGCTTCCCTGGTTGCTACTGGAATCCCAACATCTTGCTTCTTCCCTTTGTTTCTTGATAAATTGTTAATATTCCTGGGAGAGAGAACACATTAAGCTGCTATCATTACCAACAGATTTATCAACCTCTTTCCTCAGAGCAGGTTTTGACAGAAGGCAGAGAGAAAACAGAGGGAAGACAGTGGTTACCTCTAAGCAGAGGGGCTACAGGGAAGGAGCTATGGGCTCATAGAAAACATTCAATATTTAATAAATGGATACATGGATGAAAGGTAAACTTGGTCAGTTGCAGTATCTCATGTTGGCAGGAAAGGGTGGGTGGAGTGAACAGAACACTGTCAAGAGGGGCTTGTGGGCAAGGGTGGGATAGAGTTGTTTCAAGAAGCAAGTCTAGGATGGACAGACCAGTCCTCAGCACCAAGGGCTTCCCCATGACACGGGGAGAAGGGGTCCTGGTCTTCATCCTATACCAGGGAACCTGGGCGTATGTGGTGGACCATGGATCTATGACATGTTTTGAGGGACCTCACCCAGTTTTTCTACCGTGGTTTTCTCATTCCCTTCATTGTGCTAAGCTCTAAAAGGAGGGATTAGCCTGGTTGTGATGGTTGGGTGATGTGAGCTACTCCAAACCCTGATTGAGATAATCTAGTGACGTATAGCATAAGAAGTACCTCCCCAGACTGGGCCCTCAGGAAGTAGCATTAACCTGCATGCCTGTAACCCCAGGGACTCAGGAGGCTGAAGCATGAGGATCACAAGTTTAAGGCTAGCTTTTGCAATTTAGCAAGACCTTGTCTCAGAATAAAAAATAAAAGGGCTGAGGATGTAGCTCAGTAGGAAAACACCCCTGGGTTCAATCCCCAGTACCAAAAAAGCAAGCAAGCAAGAAAGAAAGACAACAACAACAACTAGCACTATCATCATCATCATTGTTATTAGTAGTAGTATCAGTGGCCACTGAGGCTTGGCCAGACAGTTCTCTCCATGCCTACCCACTTCTCTTTGTCTAACTCTCTCCTCTGAACCAAGATGGTTTCTGACATCCAGGAGGAGCTCTAGGACCCACCACCTCTTTGGTACCTCCTTCCTCAATAGCTCTCTGGGAGAGGCCTCATGACCTTGGCTGTTGGCCACTACACCATCTGTTTGGCCAGCCATGGCTACCATACTAGCTCCACCAACCCTGAGCAGCAGCCGTGATAGGGTGGGGAACCCTATCACCCTACTAGATAAGCTGGGGAGTGACAAATTTTGCCCATCTTATAGGTAGGAAAACTAATGCACAGCTGCCAACTCGCAGGTTTTCCAACCAACCAGTAGAGCAGAGCCAAACTAAAACAAAGTTTTCTGACCAAAGTTTTCTGCTTTTTCTATAACCCCATTCCAAAGAGCCTTGTTTGCTCAGATTCTCCCTGAACCTCTTGGAAGAGGGCCACACCAGCCTGGGCTTCTACCTGGTGTGTCATGTCAGGACTCCATGGAGGTTATGGGGAGGGAACAAACACTTTGATTTCAAACAGACCTGAGTTTGAATATTGACTCTGGCCATATTTGTGGAAAGTCACCTCACCTCTGGTACCTATAAAACAAGATGAGTGTGGGGGTTGAAAATGCTGTACTTTAAAGGACTGACTTTCATAAGAGCTCAAGAAATGGTAACTAAGTATAGCAGAAAATGGTTCTGTGAGCTCTGAGCTGGCCAGTGGCCTCTTTGTTGTTGAACGGGGGCCTGGGCAGCCACCCTTCCCTTCTGAATTTGCTGGGTAGTTCGCTATTCTTATGACTTGAGTTGGGTTTAGTAAATAGTTCTAGAATTCATGTTCTTCCTTTTTAGAGACAGAAGGAGTTCCTGGTGGGCAAGCATAAGGTTACAAGGCTCTGGAGTCAGTAGCATGTCTGAATTTTCTGCACAGGCTTATGGCTCTGCCAGGTGGAACTGTGTGATTTTGAGCAGTCTCTTTATCTCAGGAATGTGGATGCTTTGGTTTGTAGAATGCCTGACAGCTCTTGCTGTGTCAGAATCCGACCCTTGCTATCAGTCATGTACCTGAGAAGCTGTAGTTTTCTTCATAGTTAGTGGGAGGTCATGCCCCTATCTCATCTCTAAAGCCCATCACATGGGTAGTGACGCTCCATGGATGATGTTCCTCCAAGCCTATAAACTAGACCAATCTGATCCTTTCTGAATACCTGGCCCCCACTCTGCCTCTAGAGAGCAGTGTTGTTAAGGTGCATTCTCAGAGAAATGTTAGATCCCCCTATCTCCACCAATCTTACAGCTCCACTCCAAATAAGCATACAATCTAGGAACATAATAATGTGCTTTTTTTCGGGTATGTGTGTTGGGGCAAATGTAGGGTTAACACAAAGCCTTCAGCTCCTCTTTGAACCTGACTGCTACCCTTCAATCTGTCTACTGTATACACTTGGCATGTTCCAAAGGAATTAAACCTTGGGCCATTCCCTGGAGCCTCCCCTTCCCTGTCCTAACCTTGGAGTCCTATGCATGCACTAACCTACCTGCTAAAAAGCACATTGGTCCCGATGTCATACAGAACCATGAGATGACAAGGCTGTCAGGAACCTCAGGGATCATCTATCCTATAATCACTTTGAACAGATAACAAACAAAGTCCAAAACTGGAAATGATTTGCCTAAGGTCATACAGCCAGTGAGTGCCGTAGCCAGTGAGTACCATAGCCAGGCCTTGAACCTGAATTTCTTGACTCCAAATGCTCTCTTTACTTCAGGAAGGTCTCTCCTGCCTGTCATCGCCTGGTCCCATGAAACTTTTAAGAAGCAGTCCAGCAACCTGAGAGAAGTGAGAAGCACTGGGCTCACTCCAGAGCACTTCACCTGAGGCACTGATGCCCAGCTGTTTGCTTCAGAAGTGGCTCCAAGGGGCTGGGTGGGAAGCAGGAGGCCATTAGGACCCAGAAGCATTTCGAGCATCCTGCTCTGCCGGCTGCCTCTCACGCTCACTGCAGTGGTTCAGGCTTCAGCAGCCTTGGAGAAGCATCAGCTGAGAGGAGCTATCACATGGGAGCCGGGAGCTGCTCAGCAAAGGTAGGAGTTGCCGACTAGGCCAGGAATGGGCCAGACCCAGGGCCTGGTGGTGAGTGCTGCAGCACCCTACGGAAGGGTAGCATTCAAAGGACTAGCTCATCTTACCCTATGGTGGGCAGTTTTGTTAGGGGATGGGCTCCCAGGTATCCCACAGGCAGTAATAGGGTGTTGGCATCTCTGGAGCCTAGAGATGGGGGTTTGATGATCTCCTGCTGGTGGGGGTAGCCACATTCTGCAATAGACAGCATTCTCCATCTGTCTTGTTCCATGTCATAGAGATGGGCTCCCCACATCTTAGGAATTGGTTCTTTGGCATCTAGGCTGATGGGCAACTGTGCCCTGGGTGTGGGCAACTCTGCTTGGGAGAGGTGTTGAAGCTTCCTAGAAATCTCCCCTGGCTCAGGAGGGGTATGAGCTTGCCTGAAGGAAGACTGGGCTCCGATCCTTGGGAAGGAAGCTCCGTATCTGAGAAACAGGTACATATGAATCTCAACAGCACTTCTGTGGCCTTGGGCTGGGCACTTGTGTGCATCCTGCGTCCTGAAACAAGGGTATTTGTTACTTGACTATGCCCCTGCTACAGGCCAGACCTCAGTCCCTATGGTGGCCAAATCTTCCAGGAACTAAGAGGTCCTGGAGGTGAGGTGGGTGGTGTTGGAAGGAAGCAGTGGGAGGATGAAAGCATCTGTTGGGGTAGAAGGCATGATGACATGAACTGGGAGTGGAGCAAGGCTCCCTGGACTACCCCTATAAAAGCATTACACCAAGGCCCAGCCCTCTATAAGGCAGATGGTCAGAGGGAGTGTCCAGTTGCCAGGTATATTGGTCTGTCTGTTAGAAGTTAAATAGGATTCCTGGAGTTTGGGAGTCATTGTGGAAATACTGGCAAGACTGAAGGGACTCTGAGAAATGTCCAATGCTTGTTACCTAGGGCTCCATCATGGCTGTATGCATCCCTCCACATCCACATGGAAACCATGTCTGCCTCTCTCATTCTGGGACCCTGGCTGAGCCTTGCTAGATTAGACTCTTGCATGCAATCCACCCATGGTGGATCTTTCTTCTATTAGTTACCATGGACTCGGAGTCATGTCTTCTGGGTGCCTCATAGGTAGAAGAGATGGGTAAATTGTGGCATAAGAGGCAAGGATGCTTCCTCTAGTATTTCTGGTGTTTTTCCTGGTAGACCATCTTAAGAGAAGCTGACATCTCCACTTTTCTGCCCTCTCTTCATGTTCTCTGCAGACCCTGAGTCTATGTGGCCTTCTCAACTGTGAAATGAGCTTTCTGCTATCTCTGGAGAGAGGCATGTCTCTAGGCAGATGTCCAAAGTTAGGGCAGTCTTGAATCCAAGAGCCTGGGTTATCCTTTCCAAAAAAGAGTCCCCTGGCTGGCACACAGATGACTGACAGAATATTCTTGGAGTTTGTACTAGGAGGTAGGGATTCACTTTGAGTCAATTTGAGTCTGATTCAGTTCACAAAATTGCATTGAGCACCTATTGCACAGCATGTTAGAAACTGGATTAGTGTGAGAGTCATGGTAACACCAAAACCCATGATTATTTTAAGATGATAACTGGAGAAGAGTGGGCCCTGGAGGCCACATTGTCTTATTCATAGAAGTCATGAAGATGGTAAGTTTAAAACTTAGCAACCACCAGGCCCTCTGTATCAGGGAACTCACAGAGTAATCAAATGTTATCATGTGCAGGATTTGGAGGTCATCTAGTCCCAGCCTCCCATTTTACATATGAGGAAACTGTAGCCCAGGAAATTTTTAACTTGTCTACAGAAAGACCATCTGATTGGGCGTGCTGCAGTTTGCCTCTAGGTTGCATAAGTCATCATACTATATTGAGGGAATCTGCACTGCAAGAATGATATGTGTAAATGAAAAAATTTTAATTACATTGGGCAACCCATTTCAATTATATGAAAACTCAACATGGATAATGACACACATAAAAAAGATGTGATATTGACATTTGATAAGGAGAAATGAGAGATACTAGTTTCTTCCAGTCTCCTTGTCTGCTTTATGCTCACCACTTCATGATCATGCTGCTATCTGGGCATCTTCACCTCATGCCTACTCCAGCACCTACTCCTAGTTCTTGTTCTGTGACCGTGGTGACAGTCCAGAACCAAGAAACCCTTGGGCCAGGGATCCTCAGAGGGTCAGTCCAATGACAAGATATGGGAAGCTGGGAAAGTGAGAAGCAGCTCTTCTCCACCCACAGTGGCACAGTGGCCTTGAGAAGCTAGAGTAGGTAGAGAAGGGCAGCTTTCAAGTGAACCAGTTTCCTTCCAGCTGGGACATTCTATTTTCACTGTTTCTTTTCAACATTCCCAAAGTGATAGCTCTTTGTCTTGGAAGTGGTGATGTCAGAAGAGACAAAGGTAGAAGAGATGGGTAAATTGTGGCATAAGAGGCAAGGATGTCACACTTTTCAGGTGACAGCCCTATAGCAGTGAGAGACATTTTTTAGAGATAGTTCATATTCAACAATCGCTAGAATCCTACTGTATTTCAGTTGGTGTAAAGGGCATCTTCATGCACATCAGGGCACCAGACTGACCAGGTAGGTACCAAGACCTGGCCATTTACTAGCTGTGTGACCTTGGGTAAATGCCTTAACATCTCTAGCCTCAGGTTTATTCCTGGAAAAATGGAGATAAGAATACTATTCGTTTTATAAGGTTGTCTGAGGACTAAAGTGAGTTAATATTCATCGAGAGCTTAGAACAGGGTTGGACATGTGGGAAGCCTGTGATTAGAACTGTGGTTAATGAATCTCGCTGGGCCTGTAAACACAGTTGTGAAGTAGGTACTATTCCCTTCATTTTACAGATACCTTTATGAGGAAACGAGTCCAGAAGAGTTGCAGAGTTAGTAATGCCCAGACCTGGAACCGGAAGCCTAACCTTATGCTCCTTCTACTCCCTATTTGGAGATCAGAAATTGGGAAATTCACATAAGCAGCCCTAAAACTGCGCACTGTTCCAGAACTCAGCAGGACCTGGGAAAGGCAGACAGAGGATTCAGAATCTCTGGATAACAGCTCTTGAAAGGGGAGAAGGGTATGGAGAATGGAGGAAGGAAAGTGGAAAAGAAAGAGCCAGAGGCCACTCAGGAGGGGGAGTGCTATTGAGTGGTCAAGGCTTCATCTCTCTCATGTCTCCTGCGTCTTCCCAGTTGTCAAGGCCAACCTGGGAGCCACCTCCTGCCAGAACAGGGATAGGAATTCCTAAGACTGCAGCTGCCTGGCCTAGTGCTCTGGACACAGAGCAATCCAACTTTGAAGGCTGGTGATAAGAGGCTCCAGCAGGAGCTCCACTTACTCACAATATTGGAAAGCCTGAGTCTGGGCTCACCATCCCAGGGTCGTGAACTAGAATGGGGGATGGGCCTGTGACAGGAGGTGCCCTGGGTGTCCTCTTTCGGCCCCATGGAGTCCTCGCCCATCCCTCAGTCATCTGGGAACTCTTCCACTTTGGGGAGGATCCCTCAAACTCCAGGTCCCTCTACTGCCAGTGGGGTCCCAGAGGTGGGACTGAGGGATGTAGCTTCAGAATCTGTGGCCCTCTTCTTCATGCTCCTGCTGGACTTGACTGCTGTGGCTGGCAATGCTGCCGTGATGGCCGTTATCGCCAAGACACCCGCCCTCCGAAAATTTGTATTTGTCTTCCACCTCTGCCTGGTGGACCTGCTAGCTGCCCTGACCCTCATGCCCCTGGCCATGCTCTCCAGCTCCGCCCTCTTTGACCATGCCCTCTTTGGGGAGGTGGCCTGCCGCCTCTATTTGTTCCTGAGTGTATGCTTTGTCAGCCTGGCCATCCTCTCTGTGTCCGCCATCAATGTGGAGCGCTACTATTATGTGGTCCACCCCATGCGCTATGAGGTGCGCATGACACTGGGGCTTGTGGCCTCAGTGTTGGTGGGTGTATGGGTGAAGGCCCTGGCCATGGCTTCTGTGCCAGTGTTGGGAAGGGTCTCCTGGGAAGAAGGAGGTCCCAATGTACCCCCAGGCTGTTCACTCCAATGGAGCCACAGTGCCTACTGCCAGCTTTTTGTGGTGGTCTTTGCTGTCCTTTACTTCTTGTTACCCCTGCTCCTCATCCTTGTGGTCTACTGCAGCATGTTCCGAGTGGCTCGTGTGGCTGCGATGCAGCATGGGCCACTGCCCACGTGGATGGAGACACCCCGGCAACGCTCTGAGTCTCTCAGCAGCCGCTCCACTATGGTCACCAGCTCGGGGGCACCCCAGACCACTCCACACCGGACGTTTGGGGGAGGGAAAGCAGCAGTGGTCCTCCTGGCTGTGGGGGGTCAGTTCCTGCTCTGTTGGTTGCCCTACTTCTCTTTCCACCTCTACGTTGCCCTGAGTGCTCAGCCTATTTCAACCGGGCAGGTGGAGAGTGTGGTGACCTGGATTGGCTACTTTTGCTTCACTTCCAACCCTTTCTTCTATGGGTGTCTCAACCGGCAGATCCGGGGGGAGCTCAGCAAGCAGTTTGTCTGCTTCTTCAAGCCAGCTCCAGAGGAGGAGCTAAGGCTGCCTAGCCGGGAGGGCTCCATTGAGGAGAACTTCCTGCAGTTCCTTCAAGGGACAGGCTGTCCCTCTGAGAACTGGGTTTCCCGGCCCCCACCCAGCCCTAAGCAGGATCCACCTGCTGTTGACTTCCGAATCCCAGGCCAGATAGCTGAAGAGACCTCTGAGTTTCTGGAGCAGCAACTCACTAGTGACATCATCATGTCGGACAACTACCTCCACCCTGCCCCCTCACCCCGGCTGGAGTCATGATGGGACGCTGGACACTTGGAGGGAGATGGGGCTGGAGGCCAGTTATGATTGCAGAGACCGCCTTGTGGGACCACCTTTTTCCCAGCTGGGCTGCGACTGGGGTCTCCGCACAGTTTTTGCTTAGTGTTTCCTGGGTCGAAACCAGAGCCAACAGGAGGGATATGTGGCAAAAGTCATGGACTTGGCTGTGATCTTTGACTACTGGGGGAGGGAACCTGGGTATGGTGAGACAATGACGAGAGAAAAGGGTCACAAAGGTGAGGTGAAGCTTCTCAACCAGTGAACTTTCTATGCCTCAGGAAACAGGGAAACTATAGGTTTAAGAGCTGGAGGATCAGGGTAGCAGGGAAGGTTGGGAGTTATTCTGGGGACCACTGAGGATATTTTGCCTTTCAATGTAATTGTCCAAGGCAGTAATTTCACCCAAGCAAAGGTAAGAAAATAACCTGTGTCTCATTCTCTACTAGGTTTAAAAAGACTGAAACTTCAATTAAGGGTCATGAGTTAATAGATGATTTTGTAGTTTTATACTTGAAGTTTCCTTAACACAAGAGGAAAAACAGGGTACTTTCCCCACAGGGTTTAGCCAGGAACAAGGGGAAACAGCAATTAGGGTACATGGAATAGAAGACAGGAAAGGTTACTGCAGCTCTTTCTCCCATTCTTCAGGAAAAGCCCTTCTGATTTTTCTGCCTTTCTCTTGCATGTAGAAGATCCAGCATGGGGACTGATCTCAGCAGAGATAATAAGACAGGCTTTTTCTCCCTATCTTTTCAGATGAATAACTAGAATGATTAAAGTTTGGATAGTTGAGGGTGGGGGTTAGCATTTGAATTAGTAAAGTGGCTGGATACAGACAGATCAAGTAAATTACCCTGATCAATAATACTGCAAATCTTCTCTTTCCAGGACTGGCCTCCCTGATCTCTCTCCTCATGGCAGTGACCCACCTCCAGCCCCCTGGACAATCGGGTACAAGAGACTAAGGTTGGGCATGGGAAGGGTGGGGTTTCCATGGTCCATTAAATGCTTTCCTACTCTCATTCATCGCTCTCAAAATTAGCTTCAGTAACAAAGACTTAAATCTCTTTCTTATTTGCAGCCCTGGGTTGGAGAGAGGGCACATGAGTTGGGCTGAGTTATTTACTGATTGAGACTGTAGGAACTGTGTTGATTGGCTTTGGTGATAGTATTTGCAACAGAAAGGGAATAATTGCAAACTGGACAGGAATCTGGGACCACCTGTCTATCTCACTTCCCTCAGTTGAATCAGGTAACACTAAAGGGTCATGGCAGGGCCCAAGGGTGGTGTGGTCTATATTTGAACAAATTCTTGTCTTCTGAGCATCACAGGGAGAAAATGGCTTGGTGGGAGTGGGGCTGTCTCCCCTTTGAACAGCCAATAAATAATTTTATGATAAAAATTATACTGATACCAACATTGACTCCTTCAGTTCAATTCAGTACATAATAGTTTTAATATCCATTATGTCCTGGGACCCACACAGAGAATGTGTGCGCCCCTGCCTTCAAGGAGCTAATAATCAGATACTTTGTATCTTTATAGAGCATTTGAATCTAATAAAGCATTATAAAATATTTCTAAAATATGCTTGAGAAATATGTTAGAGACTATATCCACAGTTCTAATTTCTGAGAGTTCATTGCAGTAATACATAGAGGTTTCCTGCAGATTATGGAAAGTGTGGGAGTTGTAAATGAAATGAAACTGGGCAAACATAGATTTTCCCCTTTTGAACTAGAAAAATTTGCAGGTTTCTGTCTTCCTACCACTAGACTATCATTCTAGTACAGTGCCTATTACACTGAAGAAATCCCTTAGGAAAAAAAATGTATATATAGCAAAGGAGTGTCCTTTGTGATTCAAAATCTGTTTACCTCTATTTCCTTTTAAGATAAAGTCATAGGAGGAATCTCCTTTCTAGATAGGGTAAAAACTTTTCAATCACTAATCATCTAGTAGATCTGAGGTATTGCCAGCAGATGGCAGTGTGATTCTGGTGGAAATAGGAAAGGCATATGAGGGGGGAGGGAAAAAAGGGAAGGCATTAAATATTGCTTGGCAGCCATTTTGTTAATTTATTTTGGCTTTTCTTTTGACATTGTCCTCCAACCCTTCCTTCACATACATCAAAGAAGAAAAGTTTTAAGTGCAAGGATCTCTCTAATTTAGGCTGGAATTACCTGACACTGTGAACTCACTGACATTTACTACAGAGTTTGACATAAATAGATTCATTTGCAATTTGTTTTTCCCTGTAGGAATGGATCATGAAGGAAATTAAAGAGTTTCTCTTTTATTATGATGAGAACTTTCCAACATTTTCTGCTATGACCAACTTCCAGGAGTTTTCTAGTCACCAGGATGGCTTGGTAAAATTCAGTGTGTAATCCTTAGCTCTGAAAGCTGTTCCTGGGTAAAATCTGACCTCCCTAATACACTGAAGAATCAGCAGGCTGAGGAAACCATTCTGTCAATTACTTTTTCTTACATTCTGGTGATATCCAGGTGACTTCCAATACTAAATGAAAACCTTAGGCCTTTTGTTGTATGATGTCCCCAGAGCAATATCTTCTAGGGGGCAATGTAGAAAAGGGGTTAATTTGTAGTCAGATCTACTTACTCACTGTTTGAACTTGGGAAAGCTGCTTAATTTCTCTGAGCCTATTTCCTCATCTGTAAAAATGGGGATCATTATAACCTACCTCACAGGGTTGTTGTGAGGATTAAGAGATGAGACATGGAAGCGCCTAGCCATAATTGGTAAATAGGTACTCAATAAATATTGGTTTTTCTTCCCTTTCCTCTGGCCCTTTTTCCCCAGAAGTGTTGATAATGGAAGATTATCACAAAAAGCTCATTTCATTCTAACATCAGTTAGAAGCGACTGGGGACTTTAAAAACTTTTAAGAATTAGCATAAGAGTTATGATGCATGAGGCTGTTTGAGGTGGTTCTAATTTTCTAATTAATGAATCATCATTATATAGACCTTTCTGTTGGGACCTTGTATTCTTTTAGATTCTTTATTCCCAACTGATTTTTAATCACAGGAAAAGATTTTAGGGGTTGCAAAGAAGTCCCTCTCCCTAGAATGTACCATGACAGTACCTGTGGGGCTGTCTGTCGGTAAAGCTAATTCAGAACCGGCGCCACAGTACTTTCTAAGGTTATCAGTGAAAAGGTATCAGTATGGGGCTTTCACAGATTTATTTTCAGGTGACAATAAAGCCGAGAGGCAATTTTTACCAGAACTTCCCTTTTGTGTGGTATCACAACAGAAAATTTTAGGAGATTAAGAGGATGCACTGGTTTGTTTCCGGGTGGGGCTGACTGGACAAACTACACACTTTTCAACTGGCCTTTTGTAAAGCCCACAGCAACTTAGTCGTAGTACCATAAGGACTAGAATATATTTTAAGAGCAGGAAGCAGTGGGCCAGAAGAGAAGGCTTGTCTTAAGTAGGATTGGTGTTACAGATCTCAGATATCAGGCATGGCAGGAGCTTATGCCGGGCAATTTGTTCTTACTCGATAGATAAGACTGAAGCAATTTAGGCAGAAAAATGTCCAACACCTGGGCAAGTGCTCTGGGCCGCCAGAACAGAACCCGAGACCAAAGGGGTTTTATGCCCAGCGAGAATTTACCAGTAGAAATGGACATGTTGGCTGTGGGTTCTTATTTGAGAATCCCAACCCCCAGCCTCCAAACCCGCTGTGAGACCTCAGAAGAGCAAATGAAAAGGAGAACCCGGTTTTTATACATTTACCCAACAGGTAAGGGGAGGATTAAGGTTAGGAGATGCGCAGAACCTGACAGAACCTGACAGCTCCGCGGAACCCTCGCCCTCCCGGGGACTTCCGCTTTCGGTCTCATCTCCTCTCTTAGAGCGGGAGTGGTTCAAGTGGTAACGGCCGCAGGGCGTCGCCGGAAGTGTCGTAAACGCCGGATATCCGGTTTCTCGGATCGCTAGTGAAGCTGACGGAGAGGGCCGCCGCCCAGCAGTAGACGCGCTGTCTGAGCCAGAGGAGAAACTCTTTCAGCTGAGTGTGAGTGAGGCCGGGCCCGGTTCCCTCTCCCGCCGCCGCCATGGGCTGCACGTTGAGCGCCGAAGACAAGGCGGCGGTGGAGCGGAGCAAGATGATCGACCGCAATTTGCGGGAGGACGGGGAGAAAGCGGCCAAAGAAGTGAAGCTGCTACTACTCGGTGAGGGGCTGGGGGCGGGGTTGGAATGTGGTCGGGAGAGCCCGGCTTTTCCGAAGCCTGAGAAGGGTCTAGCCTGACCGGCGGAAAGTACCCCAAAGGGATCCGGAGGGCGTGCCGGGGTGTTGAAGTTGGTGGCTGAGGCCCGAGAAGGCGTGTTGAGGGGGTGGAGTTTGAGGTAGTAGGAATTAGGCTGGAGAGGGTGTAACTCCGGACTGGTATGGCTTTTAAGAGAGTTTGGGAATACGGAGTTTTGAGACTGTGTTAGGAATTTGTGAAAAGCTCGTAAAGGAAGAGCCTCTATTAGGGAAGGTTTTACATTGGGTTGGAGCGTATTGGTAACTCCGAGGACGCGGAAGCGTATATGTTGGGTTTGTACAATGGTTTGGGAGTTTGAGCGTGGTGATACTTGATGACAGGATAAAGCTGCAAGGCTTGAATGTTTAAATGGAGAGGCTTGGACAGAATAGTCACATAAAGACCTTGTCATTTGTTAGAGTATTTTGAACTGTTATTAACGTGTTCAAACATGAAGGTATCTATGTGTTGAGATAAATGGTAAGTTCTTAGATATAAAGGAAAAGAGCTTGGGTGCAGAGGCAGTCTATGCTTTTTCCTACTTTTTTGTACCATTCGTATTCTCAAGATTTTATATCTCTTTTTGTAAAAGGAGGGGGATGGTATGAATTGAGGAAATTCAAAGAATGGCTTGAGTTTTGTGGCTATCTAGTGGACAATAGATTACACATTGGAAATTGCTGAATAGTTGCTATGGGTGGTGTGCAGTGGAATGGAGTTACTTTAGGATAAATTATGGAATTGGACATTTACTGTAAGACTAATAAACTTCTGGGGAGCTGGTTA